AAACCCAAGTAGACATGGGAGAACATTAAAACCCCACACAGAGAGTGGCTCTAACTGAGAATAATTTTTCTTTTATCAAGATCATAACGAAAGGATGTTGAATGAAACAGCGTTATTCAAAGACCTGCCGTACGACAAGGAGAACGTGTTCTTTCTTCTATGGACAAGTAAACATCAATAGGTTTAAGATGACTGAAGAAAACTTGCTGAAACAGGGAAGAGTCCACTAGGCTGATGAGACAGAAAAAAAAGGCTGCCCAAAGGTTCTCTTAAGCTCAGTGTTCATTCCTGTACATATTTGCTCATCAAACACTGACATGCTTGTGCCACCGCCACACAAGGTTAGATTATAGTCAGCCTGCAACCAACACTATTTTTGGAAAATCCTTAAGTCCTCTGGACTGTAGCCCTTGGAATCTTCAAAGCCAATGATTCATTTCTGATGTTTCTCTTTGCATTTGGTTTCTCTTCTCTGTCTCCCCACCCAAAAAATTTACACTTGAATCTGGGGAAAAGCTCTGCAATGTGACTGCCCTTGAGCACGTGCCAGGAACTGAGCCAGACAAAGCCATGCACAGGTGACCAGGGCTGGTGTAGCTGCCCTGGCGGGGTTCACCTCTCCACAGGCACCTCTGACTCCGCCCCGGGCAAAAGCAACGTGCTTCTGCCGCTGGCAAGCGTGATCTCAGGATCATGACAACGTCTTTTCTTTCTTTTATTTTGTGTTAATCCTCACCCAGAGATATTTTTCCATTGCTGTTTTAGAGAGAGTGGAAGGGAGAGGGAGAGACAGAAAGAGAGAAACATCAATGTGAGAGAGACACATTGATTGGTCGCCTCCCACACGTGCCCCGACCAGGGCCAGGGATTGAGCCTGCAACTGAAGTATGTGCCCTTGACCGGAATGGAACCCGGGACCCTTCAGTCTGAGGGCTGACACTCTATCCACTAAGCCAAACCGGCTAGGACGACAAGGTCTTTTCTGATTGACTTTTCCTCCAAGGGGAATAAACTGGGGGAGATATAGGGATCAGATGAGCTTCTGAATGCTCTTCTGGTTGGAACCCGAACCATCAGCTGTAATCACATTAGCTTTCCCAGCAAATTCAACAAAACGGACTCCAATTTCATTTTTTCAGAATGTATGCCAATTTCACTTATGGAGGGTTTAAACTTATCTGGTTGATCTCTCCATTATCTGGGAAGAAAAGTCTGGCCAAGCAGATTAAAGAATAAGCACGACAACTAGGTTCTTTTCAAGGATTTCGGTACATTCTTTAATTACAAAGGTGTTTGGTGGGTTATTAAAACAATATAAAACTAAGATCAGTTAATTCCTATGAGGAAATAAAATGGCACTTCTCCAAACTACTCCCCTTCCCAATTTTGCATTAATTTAAACTAAGCCCAAGTCGACCAAATTAGTGAGATAATTACATAGTTTTTAGAATGGAATTCTTTTTCAGACTCAGAGGTTACCGAGTCTGGAGACTTTCAAGATTTATTTTTGGTTGTTTAAAGCAGTTGAACTCTTTTTCTAGTGACCTCAGACTAGACATCCGAATCTATACCAGAGATAACTCGGAGCTACTGTGGCTGGTGGGACCCATACTGGGTGGCCCCCCTGACTTCCCACAGCAGCTGGGCCCTGGCCAGGACTCCAGGGAACATAGGTAAATAATGATCTCATGCAGGGGCTAGCAAACTTTCTGTAAAGGGAAAGATGTCAAATATTTTAGATTTTGTGGGAACACATAAGGTCTGCCACATACTCTTTTGTTTTAGATTCTGGTGGTTGTTTTTTTTATGACTTTCAAAATGGAAAAGCCATTTTTAGCATGTAGGCCACAGGCCAAATTTGGCCCCTAAAATCATGTCTTGCCAACTTTAATGTACGTTAACAGCACTGTTGAGGTTTAACTGGCACATAATAAACTGCCCATATTTAAAACATACCATTTTGTAAGTGTGCATATATGGACATGCCCTAAAGCCATCACCACAATTAGACAGTGGACACACCCACCTCGCTCTCACCCTGCTCCAGGCAACCACCCGCCTGCTTTCTGTCATTATGCATTGGTTTGAATTTTCGAGAGTTTTATATACCCAGAATCATACTCCTTTTTTGTTTTGCTCTTACACTCAGCATAATTATTTTGAGATCTGCTGTGTTATTGTGCAATAATTCATTCCTTTTTACCAATCCTTCATGCATACAAGTGAGGACACAGACCCCAGAGGTGCCCGCCCAGAAATCACGCAGCAGGCAGCAGAGCTGGCCCAGAGCCTGGCTGCCTCCTGCGCAGGGTTTTCTTTGCAGGCCTCTCACTGCTAATGTCGCCATGGGCTCTCAGAACCTCTAGCAGCGGTTCTCAACCTGTGGGTCGTGACCATCGAAAAACACATATAGCATATCAGATATTTACATTATGATTCATAACAGTAGCAAAATTACAGTTATGAAGTAGCAACAAAAATAATTTCATGGTTGGGGGTCACCACAACATGAGGAACTGTATTAAAGGGTCGCGGCATTGGGAAGGTTGAGAACCACTCTGCAGAATCTGCACAGGAATGGCTCCAATCCTTTTCCTTCGAACCCTCTCTTCTATGTCCCAGGGACCAGCGAGCACAGGGCAATGCCCAAAGCAAAACACATTCCAAGTCATGTCCCAGGATCGCCAGGTAAATCGTGTTCAATGAAATCAAAAGGAGACTGGCACCTGTTATGTTGGGTAAAGCAAAATCAATGATTTCTTCCCTCAAACAGCTTACAGTCTAGCAAGTAAGCAGAGACTGACAGAAAAAGGTAAATATGTGATCACAAAAGTATTAAAATTACATGAAAGGAAGAGGATGCTGTGATAGGGATGAGGAGGGGTGGTAATTGGTTGAGGGCATGTGTGTGAAACAGGGTGGCCCTAGGAAACTAGGGTTGGGGCAGAGAAGGGCAGCCTTAATTTATCCAAGAAAAGGTGACCCCAAAGCATGCATAACTGATTTATTGTTTCAGTTTTCTAGGAAAATCCAAAAAGCTGCCAGAAGCACCCAGGAGGACGCTGCACTTGATTTCAAAATGGAAATGATACAATGTGAAGGTCAAGTCCACAGAGGCATGCAAACTATTTTCTTTGAACAGGTGCAGAGGGGAGAAGCCACTTGCCCTTTTTTAAGAGCCCACATCTCCCAAAACCAGTACCACAATCCATTCATTTCAAAATCGAGCTGAGAAATGGGAACACTCAATGTGTCCTTATTTTTTTTTTTTTGTTAATTCTCACTCGAGGATATTTTTTCCGAGAGAGTGGAAGGGAGGGAGGGGAAGAGAGACAGAGGGGAGAGAGAAACATTGATGTGAGAGGGACACATCGATTGGTTGCCTCCCACATGCCCCCCCAACCAGGGGCAGGGATGAACCTGCAACCCAGGTATGTGCGCTTGACTGGGAATCAAACCCATGACCCTGAGGTATACGGGACAAACTCTAGCCACTGAGCACACCAGGCAGGGACCAACATGTACTTTTTAACACAAGTTGGGCTGAAAGTCAGTTGAGTGATGCTCTATTAACATGGCAAATTTTGATTCAAAGGTGTACAAATTCATGGGAAGACTACAGATAACCTGTAGAGAGACTATCAATAACCATTTATAGTCTAGCCTGATTTTATTTTACTTGAGAGGACTAAATATGGAATAACATATGTAGGAAGAAAATCTTATTTACCAGCCTGCGTTTCAGCATCTCAGCACCACTGATATTTTGTGCCACATATTCCCTGTTGTGGGCAGTCCTGTGCCGTTAGATGTTTAGCAGCATCCCAGACCTTAGCCCACTAGATGCCAGTAGTACCTCCCCCAACAGTCAGACCTGCCACATGTCCCTTGGGGTGAAACTGCCCCTAGTGGAGAACCTCAGTACTACAGGAAGACAGAATTCTAGCCATTTACTATCTGGAACTAAATCTGCTTCCATGGAAAAGGGCCGATTTCATCATCTCTTCTGCACAGTTAGCATTTTAGAACTGAAGGCGGGTCACAGTGCTTTACCTTTTCTGAACACGGGCCAGAAAACCCACAGCAGGGAGTCCAGACCCTGTCCATCACATGTGCTGCCTTCAGTGTGCTGACTTCTAACTTCCTCAATGAGCAAGACATGAAAATGTGAGACCAAAGTTCCTGACCATTCAGAAAGCAATTACCTTTTATGTTTAGAAAGAGGCAGGTTTTGAACTCTTGGGAGTCTGTTCTCTCCAACACAAACACATCCTCAAAGGTAATTATGATATTCGCATACCGCCCGTAGAAAAGATCTGCATGTCATGTCGACAGGTCACACTGCAATCTGTTCCTTTCCTGTCTTACCTTCCCCAGATGTGCTCTGGAAACCATCCAGGGGCACCAAGGGCCCTCTGGGGCCCAACAGCCCAGCGCTTTTGGAAAACCTGGCTCAGTCTGTGGCCAAGAATGTTGTTTTGTTGAAGATCTCCCTGAGCAAACCGCCCGCAGTCAGTCCTGGCAGGCATTTCCCTTTCCCAGTTAATGGAAAGCTGACCAATGTGCGTACTGACTACAGCCGAATGGATGCGAAGGCCTGCACTCCCCAGGCAAAGGGAGCGCCTGTCTTTCCGGATCATCTCACAAAAGGCAGAGGCAAAGACTTGGCAAAGGTCTCTGTGCAATGCTTTGCTCCGGAAAGAAACCCAGCTTCTGTGGGAACTGGCTTTCGGAAGCAAGTACAGGATGTGAAAGAGGCTGAAACGTGTCACTCCAGCACAGGGAGTGAAGGGCTGTGCTGGGCAGACTGTGTGGAGGAGCTGGGACAGCCTTTACCAGACACTCAAACTCAGAGCCACCAAATCCCTGCACATCTTGTTTACTTCTAAGCAGATTAGAAGCACTGGGCACTGGGCTTGATTACTCCCTGGATCAAAGCGAAGTGAAATTAACCAAGTCTTTTCAAACAGTGAGAGAGAGGCAGGCATTGACTGACTCACCTTCCAGAAGTTGTCCACCTTGCCGTACACGAGGGACTGGTTCTGCCTCTTGATCTCGTTGATGTGGTGGACGTCGCTGGAGTTCAGGTGCTGCTCCACCACGAAGCCCAGGAAGCTGTTGTCTGGGGTGTGAGCTGATGCGGAAAGGAAAGAGCAGGGTGGTTAGGATTTAATCAGCAAGGAGCAACGACCGTTACAAATTTAATACAAGCCATCTCGCACACAACTAAATGTTTTCCTCTTACCCGGTTCTTTCTTCCCTGGGAGGGGCGAGGGACTGCTGCCCCCACACATCCCCAGCAGAACATTCACCGAGAGTAATTCTCTTCAAGATGGATTAACCTGAGCCAAATCCTGCTTTTTTTTTTTTTAGTGGAAAATGCATTTGTCTAAAAAGCATTCAGCTGTGTGCTCTCCTCTTTCCTGTTTCCTCAGAACAAGGCTACTGTCTCCTCTGGGCTTTACCACTAGTAACCAGAACTCTGTAGGGAACAGAGCTGAATCAGTGGTTCTCAATAGGGTTGGGGGTGCTGTCGGGGAGCCCTACACACCCTATTCAGACTCCAGCTGTGTTCACCATCCAGGTGGCTAAGAGGAGGTTTGGGGACAAAACCAAACACCATCATCCCAACCCTCTAAGAATTACTAGTGAAAGACGTAATTAAGGGGCTGTATGAACTGATGAACAGAATGAAGAAAGAATAAAAGGTGGAGCCCACTAGGATGTGAACCACCCTGAACAGCCAACCACCCAGAGACAGTGTCTAGTCTACAACAGGACAGACTGTGGAAGAGAAGAGACGTTTTCCTCTGGATCTCTCATAATGCGAGTTCTAAAACTTCCCCAGTTTAACACCTGACAAGGAGAAATGCAGCCCCTACCCCTTGTCAGACACTTGTCTCTTATGCCTACAATTTTAAAAGAATTTCCCCGGAAGACAACAATCAGAAAACAATTCTCTCTGGATGAAAAGACCCTCCTCTCCTGGACATCCATTCTGTCCAGAGAAACATCGGCCCCAGGCTGTTAAATGAAGCCACTGCCCCGTCACAGGCTGACTTGCACAGAGCAGCTATAAATAACTTAAGCGGATTGATCCTCGACATTCAGTAAAATCCACCCGGCACACATTCATTCAACACGACCTCTTTCACTGGTGGGTGGTCCACAAACAGAGGAAGTGGGTTCCTTTGTCTGGCTCGTTTTCTCAGGACTCAGGAGCCCTTTTCCAGGCAGGGAGCCAGCTCAGCAGCCCTGAGGTGGGCAGGGTGGGCACAGGGAAGGCCTGGGGATCTGAGGCTCAGGGCCCTCTCTCCAAAGCCTGGAGTGAAGATGAAGGAGGGAGGGAGCTTGGCCCTCTCTCTAACACTCAGAGTGAAGATGAAGGAGGGAGCCCTGGCGGGAAGCCTGAACTGTGGGGATGCAGGGGCTGCATACATACTGCGTTATCACCATCCAGTCTCCCAGGCTTTTGCCTAATGGGGGTGACAGAACGAGGAGATAATGGGGTTGTGACTGGGGAGTTGTGGTGGTCTTGCCAATCTGTTATTTCATTTCTGTGTTTTTGAACAAGTGCCCAGAGGCGATGGCATTGGCTGCAGTTGGCTGGAAAGTAAATTACTGAATAAATTCTACTGCCAACAAGAGGCCATCATTGCTGGTGTCTTTTTTGAGGAGCTGGAGGGGAGGGCACTGAAGGCACCCGGGGCAGGAAGCGAGCCCAGTGCACTCAGAAGGCAGCTTCAAATATTTCTCTGTAAACCTTTGGTTAATTGTAAAAAATCTGAAATAGGATCTTGACACCTTTGAGGCTGTGATTTTTATCTTCAGGAAATTTATGTGGTGACCAAAGCTTCATGCTTTGATATCTGTCTCTGTAGTTCAGTGATCTAGTCCCTGTGCGGGCACTTTCTGAAAAAAATGAAACAATCTAGCATCGAAAACAATAGGTTTTATTTCATGTTAAAATACACTCAGGTGTAGTCAAAAATAAAACGATCATCAAACCCAAAAAAGAAAAAAACAACTCATACGTTTTTATATTTTTGTGTCAAAGATCTCTCTAGGGCCGCAGTTGCCAACGTTTTGGACTTCACAGACCACCAGTGGTCCGCAGACCACCAGCTGGCAACCGCTGCTCTAGGGCATAGTCTGAATAGTGAGAGGGATGGCAGGCCTTTGTTGCACTGTGACCATAATTTGGTGCTACATCAACTTTGCCACTGTATAAAGAATGAATTACAAAGACTACTTCTCCTCTAAGTTTTCATCCGAACACTTTATTTCACCTCCTTTCTCTTGTCTGGAGATGTGAACTTGAGGATCAACAACCAGCAAGTGCACCACCACATGTCATAACAATGGTACGACCCTCCGTGTTTCTTCCCAGGTACCATGGACCCTGCCACAGGACCCTGGGGGTCTGCAACAGGGCTGCTCAAATGCACCTGCCCAACAGACAATTTGGAAATAACAGCAGGGCAGGCCTAGGTTACTTCCAAGGAGCTGGCCGGCAGCTGGGTACTGCATGGTGATGAATCAAAAGCCCAAGTACAGGCTGATGCTACCTGAAATGACCTTTTTGTGGAGATCCGCGCTTTGCCTTTTTGCTCTGCCTTAAGATGGGAACACGGACTTTAGCTGTGTTGGGCGGGTTTCTAAGGGAAGGTATTTACATATTTCAAGGGAAATCAAAGAAATCCCATCACAAATGGGACACAGGAAATCCTGTACTTTTGGAAATCACTCAGTCCCAGGAGATAAACAAATGTGCTTTTTAAAAATGTGTTTTTATTGATTTTAAAGAGGAAAGGGGAGGGATATATAGAGAGAAACATGAATGACGAGAGAGAATCATTGATTGGCTGCCTCCTGAACACCCCCTCCTGGGGATCAAGACTAACCTGGCCATGTGCCCTGACCAGGAATCGAACCAGTGACCTCTTGGTTATGGGTCAATATTCAAGCACTGAGCTACACTGTCTGGGCAACAAATGGTTTTTAAAAGAAGGCTGATATTGGAGTTCTGACTACGTGCTGAGTTCATGAAAACCTGATAACATGTTTGTACAGATGGGAGGACAGAGAGAATTACTTAAACTACCCATGTCTACACACCACAATGTGGGATTCAGAGCCAGACCAGCTGGTTCCAGAGCCCAAGCTCCATAAAGCACTTCTAATATATAGCCTCATAGTCCAAATAATGTATTTTCTGGGCTCTGTGAATTATAGTGGTAAACATGCTATGGAGAAAAATAATATTATAAGGTAGACGGAAATACACATGAAAGACTCAGGGAAAAATATATCAAAAATGTATCCGTTTCTTCAGCAATTTATGCCATCTGTAGGTAGGACCCAGCTGGGATTTACACCTATAAATTTGAGGGGACTTGCTAAACATTAACAACCATCTTAAAATAATTTAGGACATTTTTTTTTATTAAGAAAAGCATTGTTTTAAGCACTTTGGGAATGCCTATTTACAAACGATTATAAACCAGTTTGATGAGTTTCCTGAGCAAATTATGGTGATGACTTCTCTTAAAAACTGTTAGTTTAGCTTCAATAATTCATTCAGTGGCAAACATTTTAAAGCACTATTTCTACAACCAGGTTATATGCTAGGTATTGAGGGATTCCAACCAAAAGATGATTTTCTGCCCTCACAGAACTTACTACTACTGAGTAAGTGAGTTATACACTATATGTACACCATGCAGTAACAATGTCCTCTTCTTCAAACGTAATTCAAAAATTTTATTAAGTCAAATGGATCTTTCTTTCAGTGGCATAAATCTCCAAGGTCTGTTTTTCCACCAAGACCTCCAAATCTCTAAGAAGTGTAAATATTCGCTTTAACAGGTGTCAGCTGGTCTTTAATTACAGCTGGGGCCACAGTGTTGGAACCCCCTGCCTCCAGGTCACCAAGAGCAGAGACCCCAGAGTCAGCCTGGGCCCCTCCCTCAGCCAATCAGCAAGTCCTGAGGATTAGCTTCTCAAGACTCTCAACTCCTCCCCTCCTCTCTCCACCATTCTTAGTTCTGGCCTCATCAATTCTTACTAAGGTTTCTGCAATAGATACGTTTTCTTTTCCCTGAAATAGAAAGGTGTTTTTTTCTTGATTATAATAGAAATATACCCTCAGTGTAAAACTTATTTTCAGAGAACAGAGAAAGATAATAAGGAAAATAAAGATGTCATCCATCATCTTACCACCTAGACATAACCACTGTTAATGGGCTTTTCCCCTAGACTAAGGGATCTTTTTTTATCCTCAAATCAAAATTGGATTCTATTATACCTCCTCTTTTGGGAAGTTTCTTCACTTACACAATGTGCCACAGGTGCCTTTCTGGGTTAATAACCACAGCTCATCGCTGCTTGCTAAAGCAATACTTCAGTGGGTGACTTATCTCATCAGCCACGATGCCACGTGTTGAGCTGCCAGCATTACTCTGTAGAACTAACCAGCCTTCCTTCCAGGCCATTCGAATCTTTTTCATTCAGACAGAATCCTGACCCTTCGGCTGTCCCCACTCTCCCTGCCTCTGAGAATAGGGCACATAATCCAGAGGGCTCCACCTGACCTGAGCTTAGTTGAAAGATGGGTTTATGACCCAAGTCCCAGCAGTTACAGTTGCTCTAGGACCAGTCAGAGCAACATTTGAAGTCACTGTCCTTGTGCTCCATTCATAGAGACGGCAGGGTGGAAGTCGAGAGCTATAGATGCCATCTGTGTGCCTATGTGAGGACAGCTGCCTGAGAATAATGCCAACCCAGAGAAATGCAAAGCCAAGACATGGAGAGGATAAAGACATCTTCCAAGCCCCAAATTAAGCTGTCTAAAGCCGCTTTTGACAATTCCCAGTGGGAAGAGCCAACAAATCCTTGTGATCAAGTCTAGATGACATAAATCCTGCTTGATACACCCTACCATAGACGTTTAAGATGATTCCAATTCTTGACGATCTACATGTCTCCCCACCTGAACATAAGCTCAATGAAGGGAGCTTCATTCATGCCTGCCAGCTCACTGGTATAGCCAACCCATATCACACAGACCACTGAACCCCTGTAAACTCTGTCGTGGATATATAAGTAGTCTCCAAATCTCCCGCCTTGACCCTT